ATCGTCATCCGCATCAGCATCCTCAGTATCAGCATCGTCATCGGCATCATCAACTTGATCAGCATCATCAGTCTCGTCATCATCATCCTCATCATCATCGTCATCATCAGCATCAGCAGCATCATCCGTATCATCAGCAGTGGCATCAGCATCAACAACATCATCATCATCAGCATCATCATCATCAGCAGCATCAGCATCATCATCATCAGCATCATCATCATCATCATCATCAGCATCATTAGCATCATCATCAGCAACAGCAGCATCATCCTCATCATAATCGGCAGAACCTTCAGCATCAGCATCATCAGCATCATCAGCATCATCACCATCATCAGCATCATCATCACCAGCATCAGCATCAGCATCACCATCATCATCCTCAGCATCATCATCATCACCATCATCATCATGGTATTATTACCACCCTCCGCCTGCCCCCATCCTCTCCCCCTCCCTCCTCCCTCCTCCCTCCTCGCTCCTCCCTCCTCCCTCCCCTCCCTCCATCCCTCCCTCCTCATCCCTCCTCCCTCCTCCCGCATCCCTCATCCCTCCTCCTCTCTCCGCCTCATTCTTCCTCCCACTTCCTCCCTGCTCCTCCCTGCTCCTCCCTCCTCCTCCCTCCTCCTCCCCCCTCCTCCCTCCTTTTCCCTCCTCCTTCCTCATCATCCCTCCTCCTCATCCTCCCTCCTCCTCCCTCCTCCTCCCTCCTCCTTCCTCCTCCTCCCTCATCCCCCCTCCACCTCCCACCTCTCCGACTCCTCCTCTCGCCTCTTCCTTCATCTTCCCTCATCCTCCCTCCTGCTCCTCAACCTCCCTCATCCTCCATCCACCCCCCCCTCCTCTTCACCCGCCTCCTCCTTATCATCATCATCATCATCATCCTCCTCATCATCCTCCTCCTCATCTTCCTCTCCCTCCTCCTCCTCCTTCTCCTCCTCCTCCTCCTCCTCCGCCGCCTCCTCCTCATCCTCATCATCATCATCATCCTCCGCCCTCCTCCTCAACCTCCTCCTCCTCCTCCTCATCCTCCTCCTCCTCCGCCCTCCTCCTCATCATCCTCCTCATCCTCCTCTTCTTAGTCTGATGGTTCTCCTTGGTAGTAGTACGACCATTACTTTTGCATTAATAGTATTATGCTCCGTAATATGTTTATCATTAGTGCTATGCTTATCATTAGTCGTATTAGTATACGTATTATTAGTAGTAGTAGTGGTAGTAGCAGCAGCAACATCGTTAGTACTCTTAGTCGTATTACGTGTAATGGATTTATTGTTCGTATCCGTATTGCCATTACAAATATCAGCATTCGCCGTATTAGTATTATTATTATGTTGCGTCGGCTTCATGTTGCTGTTAGTAGTAGTAGTAGTAGTAGTAGTAGTAGTAGTAGTAGTAGTAGTAGTAGTAGTAGTAGTAGTAGTAGTAGACGTAGTAGTAGTAGTAGTAGTAGTAGTAGTAGTAGCAGTAGTAGTAGTAGTAGTAGTAGTGGTAGTAATGGTAGTAGTAGTGGTAGTAGTAGTAGTAGTAGTAGTAGTAGTAGTAGTAGTAGTAGTAGTAGTAGTAGTAGTAGTACGAGTGTCAGTATTCGTGATCGTATTGTTCTTCTTAGTCTTCTCATTAGTCTTGGCATTCGTCTGAATAGTCTTAATGTCATGAAAATGACTCGTATTATTTGCATTGGCCATATACTTTATATTGTTCGCCTTATTCTTCGTATTGTTAATATCCGGATCCGTCATATTATCAGTGTTACTATCATTCGTGGTATTGTTTTTCTTATTATCATGTGAAGTAATATTCGTTTTCGTCTTAGTATGATTGTTCATACTCTTCTTCGTATGAATAGCATTACGCTTCTTATTCATTTTCTTCCTCCTCCTCCTCTTCCTCCTCTTCCTCCTCTCCTTCCTCCTCCTCCTCCTCCTCCGCCTCCTCCTCCATCTCTTCCTCCTCCTCCTCCTCCAACTCCTCCTCCTCCTCCTCCTCCTCCCTCCTCCTCCTCCTCCTCCTTCCCCCCTCCTCCTCCACCTCCTCCTCCACCTCCTCCTTCTCCTCCTCCTCCTCCTCCTCCTCCGCCCTCCTCCTCCGCCCTCCTCCTCCGCCCTCCTCCTCCGCCCTCCTCCTCCTCCTCATCATCATCGTCCTCTGCCTCCTCCTCCTCCGCCCTCCTCCTACTCGTCCTCCTCCTCCTCCGCCTCCGCCTCCTCCATTCCTTTTCCTTATACGCAACGTCTCCCTGTCGCACCCCGAGGCAAGTGTTTAGGGCGGGCCGGGCGTTTCGCCTGAGACTTCCTCACCAAGTATGGCCCTGAAGCTTAAAAACGACAACAGCTTCACAGATGGAGGGCGGGTGGTTTTCAAAATGTGGCTCTCGACTTAGCCCCGCGCACATTCGTTGTCAATATGTGCAAGAGTTTCACGGATTGGGGGCGACTGGTTTTCAGCATGTAGCTATCGCCTTAGCGCCGCGCACGTTCGTGGCTGAAATTTGCAAGGGTTTCACAGATTGAGGGCGGTTCCTTCACAAAATGATGCTCTCGGCGTAGCGCCGCACACATTCATGTTTTAAATGTGCTAGGGTGTTTCACGGATTCGCGTGATCAGCGTACCAGAATCTGTGTTTTGGAAGGATTCAGGAATATGAGGGCGCAGCAGTTACATTGACTCGCGGTGTTGAAGTCCCAGGAGTGGCGCTCTGGCACGATTCAGGACCGTCAAGACGCAGCACTCAAATTGATCCGTGGCGTTGGAATCCCGAGAACCATGTTTTGGCATGCTTCCAGGTCTTCAAACGGCTGTCTTCCAACGAAGCAGTTTCCTCAGTGGGAATGAACGGTTGTAAAGGCCTATGAAGAGGGAGCTTGGAGGAAGGGTTTATTCCAACATCGGTGATGCATCTTGGGTTTAAACTGGTCCTCCCCATCCTCCTCGGCATCTTTATCCTTCCCCTCCTCCTCATCATCATCATCAGCAGCATCATCATCAGCATCAGCATCAGCATCAGCATCAGCATCAGCATCAGCAGCAGCAGCAGCATCATCATCATCATCATCATCAGCATCATCATCATCATCATCATGATCCCTCCTCCTCCTCCTCCTCCTCTCATCCTCCTCCTCCTCCTCCTCCTCCTCCTCCTGCTCCTCCTCCTACTCCACGTCTTCCTCCTCTTCTTCCTCCTCCTCCACTTCCTCCTCCTGCTCCTCCTCCTCCTCCTCCTCCTCCTCCTCCTCCTCCTCCCCATCTCATCTCTCTCTTCTTGCCCGTGCGTTCCCCCAAAGGGTTCCCCCAACGGCTGGGGAGCGCAGAGTCCCCAGACTCTGGCCACGCGCTCTGGCAACGGGCGGCGGTGGTTCGCCGTAGGGCGTCTCCAGAAAGAACTTGGGCGTTTGAAGGGTGTGGGCCTCGAGTAGCCACGGAGCCTCGCAAGGATACAGTCGGGGCGTTGACCCAAGGAACCCTAAATAAGGAACGAGGCCCCTTTTTCCATAAGGTAAACTTCGATCCCCCATCGAAGACCAAAGGACAACCTAAGGCAAGCTGCGAAACAATGAAGGAACACGGAGCCCCTCCTGAACGAAAAGGGTTCCTTGTCCAACGCCCCGACTGTACCCCCAAGAAGCTAAACACCTTACAATGCCGAAAACGATTCGATGATGCATGCCGTCTCGCCGTTTCGCGTCCGATGGGCGTCTGAGGCAGCAATATGGCTCCAAGATCACCCGAGAGTTCTCGGAGACCCCCTGCAGGGCTCCAAGGCGGCCTCACGCCAAGAGCGTCACAAGGGATCATCCCCTTTTGGATTCAGAAGGGAACCGCTTATGAAGGGCCCGACATTTTCCGATCGGTATCCCCCAAGATGGCTTTACGAGGTCTCCGAATGCCCATGAGAAGGACCCAAGAGAGTCCCTCTGGCCTCCCAAACGTCCCCGAGAGCACCCCAAAATGGCACCAGGCCCTGGAGAGAGCCCAAGAGGCTCACATATCGAAAGATCCGCGACGGCCTTCAGATTGACTCCTGGATTTACTCAGGATGATCCCGAGCTTCGGTTTGATGACTCCCACTCCACTCGTTGTTCCACAGCATGCTCCTACACGTCCCTCATCAATGCAGCTCGCATGGGGATCGTGTCTGGATTGGCCGGCGGGGATTCGCGGAGTGTCAACACTTCTCCCAAGCCATGGGCTTCATCCCGCAGCGAGACAGCCGCTCGGCTCTGAAGCACAAGGGAGACGCGAGTATGGGGAGGACGAGGAGCAGCAGCAGGATGAATGATCGTTTTCAGATTTACATGAATATAGATCCAGAAGGAACGTATCCAACGCCAGAGGACGGAGGAGCGTCCAGACTGACCCAAATGTGCTCCGTGCTCCGTGCCTGTGGTGGAGCAGGAGCCGTTGATGTCAGAGGAAACAAGGAAAAAAAAGGAGGGGGAGTCGAGAAAGAGGAGTAAGAAGAGACCCTCGTCCAAAAGCATGGCTGAAATCAATCGTCAGCCGAGCTTCGGGGTTTCAAACGAGGTGCACGTGCTCTCACGCCGGCGGGCGGAGCACATGCGGCCAGGGGAAGAGAAGTGAGAAGAGATTTGACGAAGAGGATTGAGAGGAGGAGGAGGAGGGCGACGACCAGGTACCCTACTCCAGGCGTGCCCAGCTGGCTTTCATGCTAGAGACGAAGATCCTGATCGGGCCGCTTTATTTCCAAGAGACTCATTCGACGATGCTTGCAGCCTTTAGGAGTGGTCGCTTCCTTGCTGTGATCGTCCTCGCCCAACAAGCCTCCGACAGAGAACCCGGCGCGGTTCAAGTGCTTCGCGTAGACGTTGAGGTAGCGGATCCCCTCCAGCGTGCGTCCGTGCGCGACTTTGAGATACACTCTCCCAAACTGTACCCACTTGGGATCCTGCGTGACATCCTCTGCCGCGCGGTACTGGAGACCGCCAGCCTGCTTCTCATCCGCCCACTTTCCCGTCAGGTTCAGCTCCTGGAAGTACATGTCCGCGCACAACTCGCCGAGCCTCTGCGCATCCGCCTCCACGCGCAGCAGGGTGCCCTCGGTGCGCGCGCCCCTCGGGATCTGGACCAAGAGGTGCCTGCCGGCCTGCATGAGGTCGAAGCGCTCGCCGAGGATGTTCTGCAGGTGCGGGTCGCCGGTGCCCGCGACGGCGCCCATGCTGGCCCCCACGATCACGGGAACCGGCGTAGGAGCACTGGTAACTCCCGCAGTCGAGCCCGCTGCGCCAACGGAGGGAGCGGTCAGCGTGGGGGCCACAGTGATAAGGGGTTCAGCACTCCAGTCAGAAGCAGCCATAGCTTGGTTCGTCTCGGCCTCAATGGTGTCAGCCATGACAGCAATCGCGGAAGTGAGGGACGCGGCGCTGTTGCTGCCGACGATCTGCACCGTGAAGCTCGTGGTCACTGTGACGTGCGAGTCCCGCGAGAGCTGCCGGACAGCAGCGAGGAGCCGATCGGGATGGGTCGTGATGGCGAAGCCAGTGATTTCAACGTCGGAAACAGACACGTTCAGAGTATTAGCCAGACCAGTCTTCTTGGCGGACACGTAAGTGGTGGAACTCATAAGGTCCTCCGCAGTGACGCCGTCTGGAAGAGATTCCTCCGCAGAATACTCGCCAGCAATCCGTGCGTAATTGGAGAGGTAGCTGCCCGTTTCATTCGAGCACGTGAGACCGAATGCCCGATAGTAGAGCCAGGTTGACGAATCTGCACTGCAACCACACAGGCCGCCGTGCCAGCAACCATTGCAGCCGTTGCACGTAGAATTTGCAAGATCGAAGTAACCACAGCGCTGCTGTGCAATCCCAACAATTGCAACCACAGGGTGGGCTCGGGCAGCCGCAAGTTTTCTGAGTTTCGGAAAGCGTCGGGCTTGGCGTGGGGCTTGGCGTCGGGCTCGGGGTCGGAGACAACGTGACGCCAGGTGGCAACGGTGTCGGGCTTGGCGTCGGGCTCGGCGTCGGGCTTGGCGTCGGTGGCACTGCGTGGTAGGACAAGTAGCTGCCTGCATCACTCGAGCACGTGAGACCGAACACCTCATAGAAGGGCCAAGTAACCGAATCCGTACTGCAACCACATTTGCCCTTGTACCAACAACCCATGCAACCATCGCACAAAGTCATCGTATCGCCATAACCGCAACTCGACCCCGCGTCGCAGCTGCAACATCCAGCAGCTTGACGCTCTGCTGTGCAATCCCAACAATTGCATCCGCAGGGGGGGCTGGAGCAGCTACAAATACCCGGTGCATGCACGTCCCCAAGCGGGGGGTAGGTGGGCGCAGACGTCGGGATTCGCGTCGGATGTGCCGTCGGGCTTGCTGTCGGGCTCGGCGTTGGATACTGCGTCGGAGACGGCGTCGGGCTTGCCGTTGGGCTTGTCGTCGGAGATGGCGTCGGGCTTGCCGTCGGGCTTGGCGTCGGAGACGGCGTCGGGCTTGGCGTCGGGTACTGCGTCGGAGACGGCGTTGGGCTTGACGTCGGGCTTGGCGTCGGAAATGGCGTCGGGTTTGGCGTCGGGTGTGCCGTCGGACTACGCGTCGGGTTTGGCGTCGGGTGTGCCGTCGGGCTGCGCGTCGGGTTTGGCGTCGGGTGTGCCGTCGGGCTGTACGTCGGGGTCGGCGTCGGGTGTGCCGTCGGGCTATACGTCGGGTTCGGCGTGGGATACGACGTCGAGGGCGGCGTTGGGCTTGGCGGGCACTGCGCCGTACCGACCGCATTGGCGACGAGCGACGCGGTCCCCGATCTGTACAGCCTTAAGTCCGCTGCGGAATAGGAGCGGGTGGGCGTTTCTGATGTTGTCTGTCCCGAAGCCGCGGCCACAATGTCAGACGAGGACAACTCGGACGGCCACAGCTCCAAGGAATGAATCTTTCCTGGCAAATTCTCTGTGAGCGAATATCGGGCGAACACCGTTATATCGTCGCCGAAAGTTGTGTCTGACGAGACGTAAAGGTGAACCCACGGGGCATAGGTGGTTGTTGCAGAATTGACACTCGCAACGAGGGTGCTTGTGGTAGCGGCAACTCCGTTCACGTATACCGTGTCACGCCAGTTGCCGCCCTTGTTGATGCGCGCGCTGCCAGACGACCAGTCCAGAAAAGAGAACCATCCAGAGCCCAATCCAGTACGTGCATCGAATAAGTACTCCCAGTGAAAGCCTGCATCCTTGTACGGCGCAAACCACATTGACAGAGCTCGAATGTTGCTGCTATACGGCAATTGAACATACCCGAATGTATTTGAAGGGATCTCGATATACTGGCAACGAGTCGGTGACGTGCCCCCGCCACAACCGCAGCATGCTGTCGAACCGTCATATCCATCGTTAGCCCAATCTGCAAATGTGCCCCATCCAGAACTCCACCCTGGTCCATAGCCTCCAGACGTGGTGCAACGATTTCCCGTGTTATACCAGGAGCAAGGTGTACCATCACGGCTCCCCCACCCAGGAACGTCCACACAAGTCGCCGTGGTCGCCGTCGGCTCTTGCGTCGGGCTTGGCGTCGGATTCCGCGTCGGGTCTGGCGTCGGGCTGGGCGTCGGATACCGCGTCGGGTCTGGCGTCGGGCTTGGCGTCGGATACAGCGTCGGCTCTGGCGTCGGACTTGGCGTCGGAACATGCGTGGCACCTGGTGGCAATGGCGTTGGGCTTGGCGTCGGTTCTGGGGTTGGGCTTGGCGTCGGATATGGCGTCGGATACGGCGTCGGATACGGCGTCGGATACGGCGTCGGATACGGCGTCGGATATGGCGTTGGATATGGGGTCGGGCTTGGCGTCGGATACGTCGTCGGATTTGGCGTAGGCGACGGCGTGTAGGCCGAGCACACGTAGCCGAGCAGGATGTGGCCGTCGTTGCAGGTCTCACACTGGTCTCTCACCACTCGGTCCTGCGGCGTGACACAAGTCTTGCATGCCGCTCCGCTCCCAGTCTCGCAAGTCAGCCTCTGATGCCGGTAGGTCACGAACTGCGCGGACCCCTCGCTGGCCCTGGTTCCAACCGCTGCGTAACAGGCCCCAGAAGACATCGCATTGGGCGGCATGCATGCGCAAGTGGTCCCCAGGCTGCCGGAGCCGTCGTTCGGCGAGTCGGAGTACAAGTACTCGCAGTAGTTCCCGGCCGCCTCCCACTGCGTCACCCGGGCGAAGCACTGGGCGAGGCTCAGCGCACCCCAGGAGGCTCCCGCCATCGCCTGGCTCACAGCGCAGGAGAACTTCTGAGCCATGTTGGAGAGGCCCGTGACCCAGGCAGGCTCCGACCCAAAACCGTCGCAAGTAAAGCAGAAGCTCTTCGTGACGGAGATGGCGATTCTGCCGGCGAAGTCACCGGCACTCCTGTTCATGCTGGACCTCTGGAGCGACCCGTTGCGGGCCCCCTCGAGGATCGGCTTGGGGTCTGGGAACTTGCTCTCGACGTCTTCACCGAAGCTGGGCTCAGAGGTGGCCCTGGAGAGGAGGCGCAGCGCCGGCAGCAGCGATGTCTTGTTGAACTCCCTCTCCGACAGGTGTGGGGGCGGGGATGGTTGGGGCCAGAGTTTGATCGAGAACGAGTAGCCAAACTCGAGCTTCGGCTCTGGATAGAGAGGCAGAGAAACCGCCCCCGAGACAATATCGAACGCCAGGATGCCCGTCAGAGCCGACTCCCAATACGACCACTCCGTGCTGGAGGGCCCCGCCGTACATCCGATACTGAAGAACGCGGAGGCAGATGGCTCCCACGTGTACGGCGAACCGAAGATGGAAATTCGGCCCGTAACAAACCCGACAATCTTGGCGGCGAATTTTCCATTGAGGCATCCAGCCTGACCCTTGATTCCAAGCACTACGTATCCGAACTGGAGGTCGACGCCCAATGTGATGGTAAAGTCTCCTTCATCACAGAACACTGCTTCCAGCCTCGTCTGAAGATTGGTGAGGAGGTTGTCACCTACGATGATTAGGTCATCGAGCATCCGTCCTGAAGATATGTACCTGAACACGCCAATGACTCCTTTGGCTGCAGTTTGGACAAAGCTTGGCGCACACCACGAGCCCCCTGTCCAATCAACGTTCAGGAAGGGAGTGGGGATGCCGAAACTAAGCCCCGGGAGGCTGGTAGTCTTCGTGAGGCAATTAGTGAACTTCGCCACGGTATCCGCGAAACGCTGGGCCATCCCGAAAACGTCCAGCACGTCCCAAAAGGTCATGCTGCTGACGAAATCGAAGGCACCACAGTCAGTGAATTCGGCGGTGGGGGCTGAGTTCCAACAGAAGTCGATGTTCACAGCCGCAGCTTCTGAGTAGATCCCGTTCACGACCCTCTCGCCGAAATCCCACAAAGCCTCGAAAACCGTAGTAGCAATTATCGCTTCGGGAGGAAACAGGGCCGCCCTGATGCCGTCGGCGATGTTCGGCAGACAGCGAAGATTTGCCATGACCATGTTCTCGAGTATATCCAAGAGTATCGAGAATCCACACTCGAAGAATGAAAGAGCGTTGCTCACCCCCTCGGAAATGCAATTCCAGACGCCGGAACAACTCGTGGGGATAAGATCGAAGCCGCACATGTCACCAACCGCGTCGTTGACGGCGTTCACCACAGCTGACAAGCATTCTCCGAAGCTCATGAGCACATTCACGACAGTGTCGACCACGCACGTGTACACATACTCCACTGCCTCGGTGAAACACGACCACACGCAGTTGGTGACGCAGCTCACAGTGCACACGACCACATCGACGACCGTCTCTACCACATCCACAACGACACTCCACCAACGACGCCGACGCCTTCCGCCCCAGAACTCGAGCTCTTGAGACGTTCGCGCAACGGAGCCCGAATCTCGGGAAACTCGCGCAACAGCGCTCGAGTTCGTATGCGCCAATCTCGGGCAAGAGGTGCAAGCATCATTGCAAGAGTTCCCGCAATTACTCACCCATTGTGTTTCCGAGCAGGTGCTGGGAAGTGAGAAGATACTCTCGAAGGTGCACGAGGGCCCACGCAATGCCTTCTGGGGGGCAGCTCGCTGTGCCGGCTGAGGAGCTGTGGCGAGCCACTCGTCGAGGGTCAAGAACGCACTGCCATGGGCGCTGTGCTTCTCCACAAACTCTTGCACCGACGCCCTGGGGAGTAACACTTGGTCAAAAGGAGTGTTGAGCGTGCCGTTGGCGGCTTCGTCCGCGACGAGGTCCTGCCCGATTAGGGCACCCACTAGCTCGTCCACGTCCAGGGTCGAAGACTGATCTTTGTCGAGCTCGCCAAACTTCTTCTCGAGAAAAAGCAGCTGCTCGTCTGACGACAGATTTTTCCACGCATGTGTCACCGTAAGCGCCCCCTTGGTGACCACGTATTCATGGGAGTGACAGGGAGTCGTCTCGTGCGATGGGAACCCTGGCCCGCAGTGCCCACACTCGTCGACGTAAGCAGCATCGGAGCAAAATTGGCACTGGCTGCAGCTGTCGCACGTACCATCGTAGCAAAATTCCGAACCCTGGCAATCAGAATGATATTGGCAGTGCACCACGTCCGGCTCTGGTTCGGGACCCTCGCTGCAAGTGGCGCAGCACACTG